ATGTCATGTAATATCCTACATTATCCACTTACTGTCTCTACAATCTCAGAATTCTTCTGAGTGGTTTTTTCATATACTTAAATTCAAGTTCCTCTCTCACAGTAAGAGATTAAGTTTCTCAATCATACAATGTAACTGATAAAATTATTAGGTTTCCTTTACACAGTAAAAGAGAATGCTTTTTGTGGCTGACATGTTTGTCTGTCTGTTTCTTGGTATCAGCACATAAACTTTTGGATGATTTCCTGAAATTGAATGTCAGATTCCTCTTGAAGACCCTCAGATTCTAATAGAATTTGATGTGGGAGACATTTCCTATACAGTCTTATCAGCCATGCTGATCCATAATAAAGCCTGGTATGTGTAAGGCTATAAATCGTAATTTACATAAGGCCATAAACAGAATTTTCCAATGCTCCATTAACCTTTAGATATATTTTCTTGAAATTCTATACAGGAGACTTTCACTACAGCTATACATCATTATGCATGATCTCACTTTATGCAGTTTCACTGAAAAGTTGTTGCTATGCTATAGGAAGTAATTGGAGTGACACGAGGCATGGGGAGACTCGGAGTCAGGCGAGCCCCATAGGGTGAATTGTTGACATTGGTGCAGTCAACTGCACTAAATCTGTCTGCAGTTGCAGGTCATACACTGTCTCAAATGTAAATTAGTTTTGCATGTTCTGTAACTTATAACTGGGGCCATGCAGCAGTGTAGTTGATTGAGGCACTGTGCTGTAAGTTGGAAGGTCACCAGTTCGATTTCCTGTGAGGTCCTTGGATTTTTTAATTGGCCTAATCCTTTCAACTGCATTACAGCCCTAGGGTCAACTCAGCCTATAACAGAAATGAGTACCAGGAATATTTCTGGGGTAAAGGGTGGCTGGCATGTAAGGCTGACAGCCTCGCCAGAATATGTGAGATGATTGTCTAGAAAATTTGGGATCCTCAGTGTCTCGCAACCTTATGGGCATCCATGATATGTTACAGGTATAGCTTTACTTTTTGTAACTTATAATTGATCATGATCAAATGTAGGGGCTGTGATAAAGTGCTACTGATGGAAGGAGCCAAAGGAAGTACATGTACTCCAATGAGGAGAAGCTACCTGTGAACACAAAAATGCGCGGTTGACATATCCTGTGACATGCAAATTCCCAAATCAGCATTTTTTGCTCATGATTTCGCAAGTGTTCTCTGTTTAAATAAGTTAAAATTAGTTTCCACTGTTTCACTTTATATGGCAATTTCCAGGAATGCACTAATCATGATTAGTGAGGGATAGCAGGAATTTTCCATTTATTGTTTGCATTTTTAAGTAAAGTAAAGTATAGCTATAGGTTTGTGAGATGTTGAGGTTCCCACATTTTCTAGACAGTTCGCTCATAGATGGTGGTAAGGTTGTCAGCCCTAAGCTATGGCTGCCCTTTACCCCCAAGAACATTCCAAGAATATTCCTGGTACTCATTTCTGTTAGAGGCTGAGTCGACCCCAGGGCCATAGTGCGGCTGGAAGGATTAGGTAAATTGAAAATAAATCCAAGGATTTGATCCTACAACCTTCCAGCTTGTAGCATAGTGCCTCAACCAACTACGCTACCGCATGTCGCACTTTAAGTAAATTCTATCAATGCTATTTGTAATTCTGTGTATCAGTTTATGGAGTATACCCTTTCTAATCATGTTGCTTTATTTGTATACATTTAATTATTAGAAATTAGAAGTAAGTAAAAATATTAATTTAAGTTGAAGGAACATATATGATAATATTAAAAATAATATGTCTAATTTACAGACACATTGTCTAGAATTGTTGTATTATATGTGTATAGAAGTTTTCTGTGCTTGCTCATGAAGTACACCTTTCTAATTTTGTTAAAATGTTGTTGTATGCGTTGCAGAATCGGACTGTGCACATGTTCAGCCAAGTAGATCCAGAATTTGGAGTCAAGTTGACTGAAAGCCTAAAGAAGCATGTGAACTTTCATTGATCTGACTGATGCCATGCCATGTGAGCTGTAGCCTCCATCAGCTTCAGAGTGATGGGTCCAAAGCCATCATCATCAGCTGTAGCCTTAAGGAATAAAAGTTGCTCTTTCCATAGAATGATCATCTAATTATTGATTGTATAACTGCATACTGTTAGTTGTCTAGTTTATCAATCAATACCCAACGCTACAAGTGGAACCTTAACCTCGGAACTCAAGTATGGCATGTGTAATGCAGAAAACGTCATTTTGCTCCCTGACGATCGCTGCTACAACCTTTATCTAGCTTCTCAGTCACACTCTTTAAGGTAGAGCACAACACAGTGCATTTGCTTCTTGCAGACCTCCCTTACAGTAGTGGGGTTCAGGATAATGTTATGTCCTAAATGTGAAGTGAAGTTGGAAATATGTCAACCCTCTTGTGACAGGTCAAGATAAGGCAGCATGTAGAGCCATTACTATGCAATGACGGCAAAATAAACAAATATACCAGAGCTGTTTCTAGGCAATGGCTCAGTACAAAAGTTCCTGTGGAAATAGATATGCATGCGATAATATAGGTACTGTTGGAAACGGTGTTTTCTGTGCGGTACCATGTGGAGGCTTTGTGAAATATCTCCACTGTAGCTCTGTGAGTGTAAGAGGCGTCAAAAAGGAAGCCCAGTGCCTGGGAATATAACCAGGCATCCTTGTTCCCGGGACATATAAATATGGGGGCCTGGCCCTCCAGGTTGGGACAATCTCGAATAAGAGACAGAAAAATATACTCATGAGACCCACAGGACTCTGACCTGAAAATAACTGCATTGGTGAGGACCAGCAGCAATTGTAAAGACAGACCCATCCATTTGTCAGAGAGGATGTTACATAAGGACTATAACCACAATGTTCAGTTGAAAAATAAAATATTGTGTCATGAGCAGGCCCGAATTTTGATGACATGTCATCTTTTTTTCTTTATGTAGTAAACGTTGCTTTTAAGTACTAAAGCCCCCATTATAAACCTCTGGTTATAAAAATGTGAATTTTATTGTGCATTTTTTGTCATATTTTGTATGTTTTAAGTTTTAGTTCATTTTTACAAGTTTTTACGTCATTTTTTCACGTTTTACATCAATTTTGGTTATCTTTCACCTTTTTTAATAATGGACATTCATTGATCAAACTGAAGATATTTGATTTGTGAGGTAGAAATCTATGTTCTTCAAGTAAATATTGTTTTGTATCTCTAGCCTCTGTGGCTAAATATAATAGATTTGTTTGTGAGAGGGCACATTATTTTTCTTTCTAAGCTGCCAGAGATGCCGTTACTGTCCCGCGCCGCTTTCTAAGCCACTGCTATGTCATAAACTCATCAAATTGATGCCTCAGAAATGCAGAGAGGTAGGTTTAAAGAGATGTCCGGGTGTCATAAAATCAAGAAATTGGAAACTAATTTACACAGTCCGCATGTACCTGATTTTAAGAAAATTTAGAAATTTTTTTTGGTCATTTTATAGATCATTTTTCAGACATTTTTAGGTCATGAAAATCCGGGCCCTGGTCATGAGTTTCAAGGGGGTTGTTGCCAAGACAAACTGATTGGCGGTAAACCAACAATCATAAAGAAACAATGACTCTGAACAATAGTTCAGCAGGAGTGAGTGGGTGAGAGCAAGCACCAGCAGAGTCACTCCCCTGTAGAGGGGGAAGTGACTAGTAGTAGTCAGACACCTCCTATTTACTCGTACGAATATTGGACCCCATTTCAAAACACACAGAAGTCTGGAAAAAAAAAATATATGGTCACGGGTCCTGACGGGGCCCAAGACCAAGAATGACTGTGCTGGCTAGGGCTAGCAGCAATTCAATAGTTCAGTTGGGAGTCACTATTCTGAGAGGACTTGAGCGTGGAAGCGGGTAGCCACTGTTAGAAGCCGTTACCATGAAACCTCTAATAAATACACTGCAGTCTGGAAGAGCCTTAGAGTGTGCTAGAGCGATTATTAGCTTGTGTAAATCAGCAGTAATGTTATAGTTATGACATGTAGTGGTCAAAAAATGCTATTATCCAAACCCCATCTGTAGTCACACATACTATGTGACAATACATTTTCTATTACAGTTACATCCATTTGATTAAATTATAAACTCCACTGTATGCTCAAATTACTACTTCTGTGGCATCCTTTGTTCTGCTGTGGCTGTCTGTTATTATTATAAAACATCATCAGTAAATTCTTTTACTGGTTACCCTCCAGAATGATTAATTTGCTTAAGTTTCCAACTATTTAGATGATAAGCTTTCTTGAAAACTAAATGGCCGATGTAATGATTCACACCTCTATCTGATTATTATGATGCCCCCCCCCACAACCCAAGATGTTTTAGACACAGCACATCACTTTTCTGCTAGGGGCTGCTATTAATAGAAACCAAGAGAGAGAGATAAAAATGGAAGTAAGAAAGATATAGAAAGAGTGAAGGAAATAGACAAAAAGAAAAAGAAGCAAAGAAAAATAATTCTCATGGAAAAATGTTTAAAACAGAATATGAGTGAGCACATAATATACATCTAAAAGGGAAAGAAGGGTAAATCTATTCCTGTAACAGGGTGTGGAGGTCCATAGTGTTTGAGATGTCGAGGCTCACACATTTTCTAAACAGTTGGCTCACAGATGATGGTGAGGTTGTCAGCCTTACATGCTGGCCGCTCTTTACCCCCAGGAACACACCTGGTACTCATTTCTGTTAAGAGGCCGAGTCGACCCCTCGGCTGTAATGTGGCTGGAAGGATTAAACCAGTTTATAAATGAATAATAGATAGTAAATTATAAGAAAATATATACTCAAAGCTAAATTTTATGTCATCTGTTTTCACATGTTCTGAAATGGGGGATGAAATTTTTAAAATGTTTTAAGAAGGATGCTAATGTGCTAAAGTTTTGGAACCTCTGCAGTAAAATACTAACTCCATGGGGCATTGACCTTCGCTAGTTGAAAGATGTTCACTGTGCTCATAAAGTCTGGCCCTTGGTGCTATCAAATTATTAAGAAATTTATTATAGTTTTTTTTTAGTTTGATGGTTCT